TGCCAATAATGCCGCAGGGAGGCAGGGGCTGCAGCTGCAGCTCCTGCTCGAGCTGGCGTGGGAACAGGCCAGAAATAGCCTGTTCCGAAACCCAGTTTTCGTGCCTGACTCTTAGGGCAGGTCGAAACAAATGAGGGCCTAAAAATAGCCCAGGGCCTAAGAATAGCCCTCCGTTTCAGGCTGGAAAAACTCTGGGTCTGAAAGACCCAGAAATAGGCTGAAACGGAGTAGGGCCTGCAGACCCTCGTTTTTCAGTTTTCAGGCTGAAACGACCGGGGCCTGTAGATCCTAAGTTTTAGGCTTTTAGGCTGAATGTCCGGGACGGGTCCTACAGGGCCCGTGTGGCTACCCAGTATGCCACACCATAGCAGTAATGAGAAGGAAGAATCCTTGGAGCTCCAAATTGTCAACGCTGTCTGTGAATATCCTAGTTTGATGTGATACCGGTGGTGACTGATTGTGGTTTGCCACAGACGCACACACACACATGGCCTAATTCTTTGCGCTGCTTTGCAGCATGGGCTGTCTTGTTAATGAAGTAATGTCTGTGTGTGGCCACAACTTTTTTCTGGGGTGGGAGTTTGGGGTTTTGGCCATAATATCTCTACGAGGTGGCTCAGAGAGTGTTTACTGGTGGTGTAATTCCTGCGGGCTGCTCTTTCAGAGCACATGGAAGAATGGGGTAGCTTCTAGGGTGTTTTAAGCAGTAGCGCTCCTGGTGTCGTGCGGAGATCTTATGGAATTTGGCATAGTACTCACAGTGGCGTGAGGCGTCGCTGTAGTGCTAGGATATCATCTGATTCTGCAGGTTGCATGGCCGGGGGAGGTTCATGACACTCTTGGTGTTGCGTACAGGTCCTGCGGTGTATTTTTGATATGCGGTGGCATTGTAGGCCGTGACGGAGGGCTCTATTTTTTTCAATAGACCAGTGGCATGCGTGGTCAGTGCTTTTTTGTTTGTGGAGCCCTTTGTGTTGTGGTGTTTATGTGGTTTGCTGGGCCGACGTGGAGGGCTCTCCAAGTTTTTTCACACAAACACACACACACACACACACACACACACACACACACACACACACACACACACACACACACACACACACACACACCGACACATGCACGCACGCACACACGCACGCAGAGGATTTCCCTCATGTGTGGAAGATGCTGGAACCCATAGCTGCCAGCTATCATGTGAAAGAATGCTGGCACAGTGGAGGAATGATGGTAGCCGTAGCTGCCTTGTGGAAGCAGGTCAGCTACTGCGTCAACTTCATGGACGATACGGGGTGGAAGAATGCTGGTACCCATAGCTGCCGTGTGGAATGATCCCAGCTAATGCTCTGTGGCTTCATGACACAAAGTACCCCGGAAGCCCATGATGGACACATGTGACATTTGTGGGCCCATGATGGACACATGAAGTTTCAGAGGCTGTGCACAACGGATCTGTAGTTCTGGTGGATTCTGGGCATGACCACTTCGTGATAAGGCTGTGTGCTCTGGGGTACTCGTGCTCTAAGCTCTGGATCATTGTTGCTTGGCGTACTTAAATTTGTGAGGCTGTGGGCGAATCGTCACTCTTGGATAAAAAAGCCAGACGAGCTGTGGTTTTGGCGGATTTTGAATGCAGGGCCAGCCTGCCACAAGCCCGGGTGCTGGAAGGGGTTCTTGTGTTCTGAGCTTGAATTGACTGGTTGTGGCCTTGGCAAATCTAGATTACTGGCGATGAGCCTCGTTTTGATGAGGAAGTCCCTCGGTTTGATCCCCCACGATTGCGCGGTGTGATCACCCATGATTCCTCAGTGTGTGAAAAGGCCAGTCGAACCCAAAAGCACTCCTTCAATGCTCTCTAACTATGTCAGTGGACAAGATGATCTGTCTACGATGTGGGTGTGGTTTTTAGTTCCGTTTTGTATTCTTAGAACTGTGTTCAAACTTCGAAACAAGGCTTGCTCCTTGCCTCATTGTGTGGAACACTACTCTTTTTTTTTTTTTTTTGTTTTGGAACACTGCTCTCTAACTGCGTCACTGGACAGAATTATGAGCTGTATATGATGTGAGTGTGGTTCTTAGCTCATTTTTGTTTTCTTTGGACTTTGTGTGAAACGAGGCTGGCCCCTTGCCTTGCTGTATCCAACAGGGTTCGGAAGCTGGATCTGTTTATTTACAGTCGAATGTGTGTACTGTTCAGACATCCGGGTCAGTCATGTCCTTCGGACTTCAGAATCTTCATGTACATTTGTTTTGCTGGGACTTCAGAACCATCATGTACGTTTGTTTTGCTGGTGATGTTAAGGTTGGATGCTATGGATGTAAGTGCTCTTTAACTGTACTGATCAATGATTGCATCTTACTGTCGGCGAATCGTTGATGAGCTGATCTCCATTGCAATGTGGTGCACTGTAAAACTAATTGCACCTAGAAAACATAAACAAGGAGGAATCGGAGGAGGAAGGAAGGAGGTTAATGTATGAACACACATAATTTCTACACAAAGTTTACTCTCTAGGGGAGGAGAGGGAAAAGAGTGATGGGGGGTGCATTGTAGGAGAAGGAAGAAGGTCAATGTATAAACACATAGAATGTACACAACGTTTACTCTCTTGGGGAGGGGAGCGAAAGGGTGCAGGGGGTGCATTGTGGACATCTGTGCGGTGTCTGGCAAGAGGGGGGAGGAGAAGCATGACATCCCCACTTTCCGTGTATGAGGATTTGAGTGGTCTGGAGGGAACTTGGATAAGCATGGTATATAGTTGCGAGGAGTGTAGTGAACCGTTTTGTAAAGGATGTATTGTGTATTTCTGTATGGTGTCTGGGTAGATGGGGGAGGAGAACCGTGACGTGCCCACTTTTCTGTGTGTGCAGATTTGAGTGTTCTGGAGGGAACTCCGACAAGCATGGTATAGTTATGAGGAGCGGGATGACCCGTCCTGAAGTGAAGAATAAGCAAACAGGCCAATGGCCAGACAATGACCAGTTGTCTGACGAAAGATGGAGGAAGACGAGTCTTGAGGTGCCTCTGACACAGCTGTACATCAACTCTGTTACAGTTCAGCTTCTGGCAGGCATGGAGTCGTCTTGGCTAGCAGGCTCGCGCAGGGAAGGTGCTTGGCGCCCACACAAGAAAGGAGGGGATCTTCCTAAAACTTCCCAAGGGTCACTCTCACGAGCTGTTGGAGATTGCCACGAGGTGTTGTTGCAAATGAGCAGTATCCGTGTTATCGCTGTTGTTTGCGAGGATCAGATGCCCGGAGCACCCAATGACAAAGGCGTAGAAATTGGATTGCATATGCCAGGTTGCTGTCAAGGCATGGCGGACAGCTCGGAGTTGCACTCCGATGCTTATGGCCGATTGCGAGCGTGCAGAGACCCTGCGCTTTGGATTGAATTTCAGGGAGTCAGTGGCATTCTCAGGCTGGAGAACAGTCCTGCAAGTGTTCATAAACAATGTGCGACAGCCCCCACAAGACTGGCTGAGGTGTCAAGAGTTAGTAACGAATGTTTGCCAATCGTCCTTGATTGTCCATTGAGCCGCTGTGGATCGGAAGGTGCCTTGAATAAGATCTCGTGGAATGCAGATTTGAGAATCTCTCTTGCAGAGACTGGTGTCGCATGCTTTGAAGGAGATGTATCAGATGAATTGTATGAAGGAGAGAGGGTAAGTGACCTTTTTCTCGTTTTAAGACAAAAACACCTCAGTTTCATCCTTGCTGGAAACCGGGTTGAGCATCCCTTACATAAAGACCCACTCAACACTCTCCTCTGCTATGGCCAAGAAACCCTGATTCAGTGGCATTGATTAGTTCCTTTGATGGAGGGATTTACCTTTACTCAACCATGTTCTTCCCTTCTCGGGAGGCCACCAGCTCATGTTCAGATAACAAAGCGGCTGCCAGCTAACATTGAAGTCGTAGAGCAGCCTTGTACCGGTTGAGGTTACGTCCAGAAAACCACAGTATTCTGCTTGGAGCCATGAGACTCGGGCATTGATTGCTTCCTGAACTGGAAGAATTAACCACACCCCCCGAGTCCCAGAAAACATTGTCAGTTGCCTGCTTAACCCTAAAGACGTAACACCATCTTACTCAGCATCCCGAAATCATAGAGCTGATCTTGCTAAGGTGTTGATATCCTACTGCTTCACTACAGACCCCCCCCCCCAACACTCTTCCTTCCCCCCCCAAATGACTAAGAGCTTAAGCCTCCTTCCCGTTGGTATCCCTTGTAATTTCTGCACAGCCCATACTTGTATCGTGGTCTTCATTTATGGTATGAACTGAAACAGACTCGCCTGGTAACATCCAGTTATTTCTCCACATCCAGTTATTTTTCCATAGTTTGCACCGCCAGTACACCGCCCCGACAAACTTTGAGAATAGAAAACGAGTCATTCGGGGATCCGGGCCAGGGCCTGCCTGGGGGCGGGCGGGATTTCGTTTTTGTCGTGTGCCTTGGGGTGGGCACTGGTGCGGTGCAGGTAAAAAAAATAATTCTGCCCACCCTAAGGCCAGCCCCGGCCCGAGTCCACTAACTTTTCGGAATGAGTCATTTTCCATTCTGAAGTTTGCCTGGGTGGCGTAGTGTTGGTTTAAATATTAATAACTTATTTTCTACGGCAGCTATCTTTCAATACGCTAAGTTCTTTTTAATCCACCAATACGTTTCCCAGCCATTTTTTAGAGACACAGTGTGCATGTTGGCACGTCTCTCGGGAAGCACCAGGGCGCCGTTTCGTGGCACATCCGAGGCCCATTTGCTTGGCTGGATGTCCAGCAAAACGGCGCCCTGGTACTTCCCGCTTGACGTGGCAGCATGCATGCGGCGTCTCTGAAAAAATTGGCTGGGAAATGTACTGCGGTTTAAATGAAATCTTCCGCTGTTTGGAGTTGTCGAGGTCTCTGTCAATTTTCCTTGTGGTAATAAGCCATAAGACTCTGAGTTGTGTTTCTATTTGCTGTTTAAACAAAAAGCATGCCTCCAGGATAGTAATTGGCCGCTTATTGAGTGTTTCTGACATAATTTTCCCCCAAATGACCCATATTGTGCCCAGAAGGTGCTCTTTTCTTTGTCTCGTTCGTTTCTAAAAACTTCAGCGGCATTGTAGACTTGTAGGCAGTCCAGATGCGATGTCTCGGTCTTTCTAAAGAAGATACATTTTTTTAATTTTTGGCTGAGCTCGGTGATGTGCTCTTGCTCTTTACGTTTTCTATGTCTGTCTTTTAAACTGCTTTGTTTTATTTTCTTAACTCCATCCTTAGGCTCGGTTGGGGCTCCATTCTATTCAAGGAGCGCCAGTCCAGTTTCTTTCCCACTGGCAAGTCAAAATACTAGACGGTCTAAAAAATGCTTCCCCATTACGGCCAGGGTTTCTGGAGGACTTTCTCAGACTGCCCAACAGGAGTGACGGAGAAGAGGATCATGTCAAACGAACGTTCATTTTACTCCACAAAAAAACATGTGGAAATGAGTTTTCCACGCGACTCAAACATCGAGCACTCGGGCTTGCTCACCATAGCTTTGGGCAATTCCTCTTACCATATTTTCTATCTGAACTTTTGAAAAACACAGTCCTAAAAGATCATATCGTTGTGCTCCTCGTCCATTCTTTCCTTTGCTATTTTTTCTCCTTACTCACTCAGCTTGCGGTCAAATATTAATATGTGGCCATGGATCGGAGTAATTTTGGTATTGGAAATGGTGTCTTGAACTTCCTATGGAATTCCTTTTCTTTGAGGGGGTTATAGATTGTTTTATTTGTTTCTCATAGTGGCCAGATTTGTTTAGTTTATTGTTGTGCTTCTGCGTCCCTTCTTGGGAGTTTTCATGTTGCCCAGTTCTATGCGTTTGTATCTCCTGTTTAGGCTTGTTGTCTACGGTGGCTGAACTGGTGCTACCTTTATGCTTAAACCACCAGCACATGGCCCCAGCCAAGTTGAGAATTGCAATCGAGCCTGTCCTAAAACCTCGGAGGCTCGGGACAGGGCTTTGAAAGGGCGGGTTGAAAAGAACAAATTGTCCCGTCCCTCAGAAGTCAGGGTGGGATCAGGGGCGGCACTGAACAAAAAGTAATTAACTGACATTTCGTTAAAACTGACATTTTTTTTTGTAGATTCACGAAATTGAGCGTACGAAAAAAAACAGCATTTTTTTGCGTTTCTTTGTCGCCATGACGTCGGACCATCTGATAGTCGGGCGCCGTGACGAAGCCCGATGATTGGACCCTCGGATGTATTTTGATGGTACGTTACGTTGAGAATCTTGAGATACATCATATGGTCAAAGTGAGATGACCACTTTCTCACCCAATGAGCAATGCAATTTTGACCAAGTCCACTTTCGTGAATTTAGAAAAAGAAGTCAGTTTTAATGAAATGTCGGTTGATTTCCTACCGCCCCCAGGCGGGACATGTCCCAAGTCCCCGAACTTCCTGGAGAGGCTCATTCGTGATTCTCAAGATGTACTGGTGGTTTACACCACCACTACATTTCAGAGTGGAAGGCTAAGTCGTGAATATGAACTATGCTGCAGTCTGCAGCTACAGTGCGCCTCCGGACCAAAATGGCCGGTGGGACCAGCCAAAACAAAAGAAAAAGGGTCGCGCTTTGCATGTAAATCTTCCCTGCCTCGGCAAAAAATGCTCGGAGGTAGTAGCGGTTTAAAAGAATGAATGTGGTTGCAAACATAGCCATGTTTGCATTTCTTAGCAGTGAGCTTAGCACCAGTGTGTTGCGGCTCTGGGTCTCTATTATTTCCTTGATTTTGCCCTGCCTCATGAATCCCATGTGGGATGTTAAGATGTGCGACCTCTGTCGTTCTGTGCTGTGAAGTCTGGAAGCATTGAGCATAGGAGCTAATGTACTATCGGGCTCATTGCGGGCCTCGATTTGTGGGTGTCATGAACAAGGAACGGGTAAGAGAGGAGAGGAGATGGGTCGAGAAGAGCGATCTTCATCAATTGGGAGGGTCAGCGATCAGCATCCAGTCCGTACACTGGACTATGACCCGTGACTGGCAAGAGAGTGAACAATGCGATGTTGGCTCTGCTGCAGAGATGCCCTCGACTGGTGATCAAGCTTACAAGCGTGTGGACCAGGAGACCCAGGATGGGGCCATCTTTAGGGTCCATGAAATCAAGGTAGGTGGGTAGTTAAGCAAGTCTGTGAGGTGGTGGTGCAAAGATCACAGTGAATCTCTGACACAGAGAATGCGCATGATGATAAATTGATAATGCAATGATCACAGTGTGAGTGTGTGTCTATATGCCGGTGTGTGAGCAGGTGCGTGCATGTCTTTGCGCGCGCGTGTGTGTGTGTGTGTGTGTGTGTGTGTGTGTGTGTGTGTGTGTGTGTGTGTGCATGTGTGGGTGCATGCATGGCTGGATGGGTGTGTGTTGGGCGTGCGGACGTGGTGGTGTATCAGTGTGTGCGTGTGAGCGTGTGGGTGCATGTAGGGGTGTGTGTTTGTGGCTGTGTGGGTGTGTATGCCTGTGAGAATGCGGGTGTGTGCGTGGGTGTGTGTGTGCGTGTGCTTGTGTGATCAAGTGTGTGACTGCAATTGTCAGCAATGATGGGAATGTGCATGTGTCAAGTGCTCTGTCACGGAAACCGTAATCAATGGGCCAGTGAATCAGTGGATTTAGGGTCCCAGGGTTCAGGGTTTGAATACAACCAGGAGGAGGCTATATCATGCAGAATGATGCATGCCTGGTTGAACTGTGGCTATTAGGATCGTTAACATGGGGAAACACAAAGTAACATAAGGAAGACAAAAGTCAGATGTGTATTGACCTGATCACAAAGCAAGCTGAGAATGTGATGCAGATCGGATCTCACACTCTGTCGGGAGGGCTCCGTATGTTGAAAATACCTGTCTCTCCTCATACACAAACGAGGGTGGTATGGGAGTAGGGAATTAGAAGAAGAAGAAGAAGAAGAAGAAGAAGAAGAAGAATGTATGAGACAGTGAGTTCTGGATATGGTGAGTCCGTATATCGAATGGCTTTGGATTTCATCTTTGTGTGTAATTCTCTGTGGACTCTTCCTTGCTAATTTCATTATGTAATATGTATGATATTAATGCATATAGAATTAGACACTAAAGAAAAGGCATGAGTAGAGTGAAGAGTGATATAGTACAATTAATTTGAATTTAATTGCTTGAACAGTGATGCGACTGGTTTTTGATTGAAGAACTATAAAACGGTAGGATAAACTGTCGTGTTTCTAGCGATGTCCTGTACCCCTAGACGAAAGGGACGAATGAATGTGCTTGCAGCTCAATTGGATAGAGCACCAAACTATGGATTTGGGGGTTGAGAGTTGATTAAGCTCATTACAGTCTGTTTGCCGCCGGGATTTGTTTGGACATCTTAGAATTGTTTTCTTACTCTTTAATGTTTTTTCCCGGAAAGGTCAACACCAAATCTACCTGCCTGTTTCTTGTCATAGTGTTTTGTGCAGAATTTTGAGCGTGAAAAATTGTTAAAGTTGGTGCTCTCAAATTTCTGCACCCCCCCTCTGTATCCCGTTGCACGGCCTTGTGATCTGAATAGACCTTGATATGTTTGCCCAACAAGTAACGTTCAAAATGTCTCACACAATGCTTATCCTCATTCATAGGTGATGACGTGGTTTTCTGTGAAGGTCCCCTTTTAGACAGGTGTATACCCATTGCCACCATCTTGCTGGAGAACCACCCGTATTCGATACTGCTGCAACAAACGTTAAGGATGGATCTGCAATGTGCAGGATGGGGTATTGTGTCAGTGCATGCTTAAGCTTCTTGAACGCTTGTCTTTCGGGACATCTGTTAAAATTGGAACGATACAGAGTAGATTAGCATGGCCCCTGCGCAACGATGACACGCATAAATCAAGACATGGTCCAAATTAAAAACAAAAAAAGTTTCTTGAATGCAGAGTCACAGTTCCCGTCCCACAAACACTACTTTCTTAAACCACCACTCCATCCGGAGCAATAATGACAAACCTAAAATGCATTTCGCTGAGCCTGCAGGTGACCAGTACCTACCGTTGGAAAACTAAACACGGTACAGGTGACCTCCGCATTGTTGGGAAGCCTGGACACATGCAGGTCCAAAAAGAGGCCGAGCACGCCATTTTCGTAATGTTTTTTCCTTTTTTAATTTGTGTTTTTTCACGTGATTGACACCCGTTTGAAAATAAGGGGTGGCAACCATGTGTTCATGGTGTGCAAGTGGTGCGCTGCCCACCTTCCTTCCCTCTCTCTCTCTCTCTCTCTCTCTCTCTCTCTCTCTCTCTCTCTCTCTCTCTCTTGTGCGGGCACCCTCCCAGCAGTGTCCATCCCCGTCCTCTGTCTTTCTCTCTGTCTACTTGTGTCTCAACCTGAACCAAACATCTGGTCATTATAGCTGTATCGGGGGCAACTTTCAGTGCAGATGCAGGGATAATAACCTGGCATTCTAGATCGCCCCTTTTTCTTTTTGGTTCTTGTTGCTTGAGGTTTTTCTTCTTGTGGGCCCACAACTCCGCCCCCCATCTGTGGCCAGGGGCTGTGCTCATAAACGAAAACAGATGAAGAGTAACTTCGGATGGACTGGTGGTTTAATAACTCCTTAGTGCTGCTCTGCTACAAGCAAAAAGTTCCCGGCGAGCTTCATATAACAGCTAGCCAGTCTGGCAGAAGATCTCAGTTCTGTTAGTGTCTTTGGTTGGGGCCAATCCTGAACAGCAAGAATCTTCTTTTGTTCTGGGCACATCCATCTTTACTTACCACATGGGCAAGGTATAACACCTCAAGTTGAGAAAATTCAGTCTTGTTTGTGTTAATGTTGAATTGACGTTCTCGTAAGAAGTAGAAGAAAAAGGAGCAGAGAAGAAGAAGAATACAAGAAATGAAGAAGAAGAAGAAGAAGAAGAAGAAGAAGAAGAAGAAGAAGAAGAAGAAGAAGAGAAGAAAGATACAGATGGGCTTAGAGTCTTTGGACCCCTACTGTGGTCTGCAGGAGTATCTTCAATTACCTTGAAAATAAGAAGCAATTTGATGATGACCCTCAGCCATAAGATGTTTGTACTACCATTTTACACATCATATGTCTCCTGGCGTCAGGCAGTGAAAAATAGCAATCTCCTCTTGTCTGCTTGCCTCTGACCAGAAGCAGCAGCAATTTCAGGCGTTGCAAAATAGCGATCTCCTCTCGTCCACTGGCCTCTGACCAGAGTCATGGACCTCATCTTCGTGAGCTGTGTGTGTGTGTGTGTGTGTGTGTGTGTGTGATGTCCAGCAGTGCAAAATAGCAGTCTCCTCTTGTCTGCTCGCCTTTGATGTGAGTCAGGGACCTCATCTTCAGGAGCTCTGTGTGCGTGTGTGCGTGTGTGTGTCTGTGTGTGTGTGTGCGTGTGTGCGGGTGCGTGTTGTCATGTTCGCTATACACGACAAAAAAAGGCATGATTGTGACGGACTGTTTTGTTGGACTTTCACGGACTGATCAGGAGGTTGAACCCTGACAGTCTGCCGAAGATGCTTTTGACTGATGTATACGGACTCACAAAGTCACCGAGAGTTAGCGATACCCCTGACAAAAGTGGTCCACTTGACTCACACCAACCCGCAGCCCTAGCGGACTGTTGGTCGAAACCCCTGACAATAACGGCAGTAAGTCTGAGAAACTACCATCTTCACCCGAAAATAACGCCCGGGCGTTATATTCAACTTACACTAACAAGATGAGATTTTCGTTCTTACTCACTTTTTTTTCAAATAGAACGCCCCTTCGAATAGAATGCCCGGGCGTTATATTCAAATAGAACACCCGGGCGTTATATTTGAATGTTCCATGGGGAGAGTGTGTTGAAGAGGTAGTATAGATGGGTTTTAAAGGGCGGGGAAGGGAGTATACATGGGTTTTGAAGAGGGTTGAATGGGATTTTGACTTCCAAGGGGTATATTTAAATTATATTTTGGGTTTAGTGTTCGTTTTTATTTTTTATTTCCGAGTTTATAAGGAATTCTGAAGTGACCCTCAGCCAAAAATTGGTCTAATTCCTTTTTTTATTTTTTTATTTTTTATAACAAAGCAATACTGCCCCTTCTATTCTGGGGGGCATCAGTCCGGTTGCTTATCACCGGCAAGCCTGAAAACCGAAGTACAGTTTGATTGTAAGAGAAGAGGAAAGCCTTACCCTTGCGGCCCTAGGCGCCTATCAAGGGGGGGGGCTGCTACAACCAAACCCACTTCCCATACCATAGCCTCCCCAGGGATACTTCTGTTGGTCGGGAAGCTTCCTAGCAGCACCCAGTCACGCAACAGATGGGTCCCCAGGGAAGGCCTGGCCCGGGGGGGCTGTTCTAGCAATCTCACGGGCCTCTCATCCTGTCAATCCCTCCCTCTATACACCCATATAGGTCGTCTAATCCTCGTCTTATTCTTGCAACAATCACCAGCATATCAATCTCCTTCTCTATTCAACGCTCTTTTTTGCACCCACCACCGAATGCCTCTTACACTCACCCTCATATCAATCTCCTTTTCTATTCAACGCTCTTTTTTGCACCTACCACCGGATGCCTCCTATATCCTTGAGTCTCATCTACTTCTTAACCCTATCTCCTTCGTCTTTAGTATCTTCGGCACTGGTCAAGCTTTCCAATCCTCAGATATTGACCTGGCCATTATTTACCCGCCCTCTGGTTCAAAACCCGATCTAAGGCCCGTAGGCCTCCCTTATTCCACCTTGAGAAAATTTTTCTGAACACCTAAAGCCAGTAGGCCACCCTTAATCTAAAATGTTTGAGTCTTGTCCCCAGCAGTATATTCAACGCTCCAATACGGTCCGTATCCATTCCTCCTAAAGCCAGTAGGCCACCCTTATTCTAACATGTTTGAGTCTTGTCCCCAGCAGTATATTCAACGCTCCTGGACAACTTTTCTTTTTTTTTACAGAATTTTTAAATTTTTTGATTTTTTTTTTTTTCGGAATTTTGGGGCCTCACGGAAGTTACTACAAATTTACTGAATATAACGCCCAGGCGTTATAAACGAATATAACCCGGCGGGCGTTATATTTGTACACAACGCCCGGGAGTTATTTTCGGGTGAAGACGGTAGTTGTCGCAGCCATAAAACCCACTCTACGCACCCACTCAGCCATGGACACCCAATGGCATGCGTGTGGGTGTGGGTGTATGCGTGCACTTTTTATCATGGGCACCATAATCTATGTGGCTCTGAATCAGTCGATCTAGGGTCTCAAGGTTCACGGTTTGAATACAATTAGGAGGAGAATGTATCCGAATGAACCGTTGGCATTCGAAGTCCGAGGGTCACCAACATGGTGAACTGACATAAGTTCACACAGTCGACGACTGAAGTCAGTTACGTACTGAGCTGATCATGCAGCAAACTGACAATGTCACATAGATCTCAATTCACACTCAGCACTGAAGGTTCTGACCATAAGAGTGACCTCCTCAATCTCATCATACACAGACGAGGGTGGTATGGGAGTATGAGTATGTTATGAACATGATTGTCCGTTGAAATTTTATCAACGCTCACTCACAGGAACTCCCATACACGCCCATACATCTACAGAAGGAAGGGGAGAGGTAGTGGAGTGTCACACCGCCCAACAAGAAGGAATGCAGCGGAAGACTCAGAGGAGCGACACAACCCAGTGAATTCTCTCCACACAAATCCCAACAATCATTTTTTTAGAAGGCAACCGAGAGATCACAGCCAGAAATCAATGAGGAGATGACAACTCAAACACAGTATTACCACTGTTTATTAAACTCAGAGCATCGTTCCCACTGAATACCCTCAGAACCCTGTTGCGCCACCCTCAGAGGGGTAGCGCTTCAACCCCACCACCCTGAACAGCTAAAAATAGCACCGAAACCCCAGGTAACACCCAACGCCACCCTGACATCCAACTCAGTGGCCTGCGCCAAAGTGAAACAGGCTCCCAGAGCCAATCGCCACTCAGATGATGAAGAAGAAGCTCAGCGCCAACAGTCCCTGATGAAGATGAAGTCCAGACGATGATAATCTCTGAGAAGATGCAGCTATAGCTGCATCGCCACTGGGACCCTACTCCTGAGGAGGGTCAGCAGTGCACCACGTGTTCCAACGCATCAGACCTCTGATAGCCCAGACCGCTTTGACTCCCAGAGAGTCAGAGCGGACAGCGTTGGCCCCAGTCTGGTCAGCGCTCCGAAGGTCTGGCTATGTCCGCCGTCTCCCACACCGGAATCAGCAACCACGACCTGATACCGTGGGCGCAGCAACTTCCACCACGAAGTGTCAACTGCCAGAAGCCCCGGACCGATGTCCCCATCCTATCTATACTCTACCACTAGCCTAGACCTACCTAGACTGGACTGACTGACCGACCGGTACCGTTTCTGTTTCGGCCTCTAGGGCCTCTCCCTACCCGGCTATAGGCTATAGGACCGTCTATCAGCGTAGGCCCATAGGGCCTGTCTGTCCTAGGGGTAGCCGGGGTCTGCTATTCGCAGTTAGGGTAGCTGTAGGAAATTCGAGTTAGTACTGGCCTCATATTTCCTATATTTACAAATATGTCCCTTACGAACTTTCCTTACAGGTAGGTCTCTCGGTTAGCCCTCAGCCAAACAAAATTATGAATCTGTCCCTACCTATGGTACAGCCTCGTCTGAGAGAGGCTACGGGCAACCTGGAACCAGCAAGTCATTGCAAGTAAGAGGGAGGAAGAAGAAGAAGAAGAAGAAGAAGAAGAAGAAGAAGAAGAAGAAGAAGAAGAAGAAGTCTTCTCTATCTCCTGATTTCGAAGGGGAGATACTGACTGCAAGGAAGAAGAAGGCCGGCTATGGCTGGTGGCCGAGCTCCAAGATATGGCACAAGGTAAGTGGTTTCCACTGTGCCTCTCTTCCTCACTACTTCTGCTCTGCGCCACTCTGCTGTATTCCTAGGCTGCTCCATTTTCCGATCCAGCAGCGTAATGGCCGGTGTGAAAATGAACGAACCTCCGTAATGGGCCCACCTAGGCCGTCGGATGGAACTGTGATCCGGTGGCCCACATCAAAGACCGAGGTCGTACCTCCTAGCCTACAGTCAATCATTGTGAACAATGTGAAGGTGACAGATTCCTCCATTCCTGATTGCCAAGGAATCTTGGCGACTTTGGCTGATGGGATTGATTTCTTCTCAGATGTTTATGTGTGGGAATACTGGGCTGAACTGCTTATGTTTCTCCTTTCTGTTTGTTAAATGTTTTGGAACTTACTCTCATAGGCTTTGGTGACGGGACACATGGCAAGCTGTGGATCTATAGTGTTCGAGGTGTTGGTGGTGCCCACAATGTATGAAGGCCAACACTGGTGTAAGGACAGTGACGCCTTATAGAATGCGACATGTAAGAGGAAGTGCTTGGTTGCTTCTATGCACTATGGGAGTCGTGCATTATGTCTAATGTGTGTCGGAAGGTGAATGAGATTATAATACCGATTCATAGCATAACTTTGTGAGTCACGGGCTCGTCTTCCCTCTGCAGGATGCCGTGGAGCTGATCGTTCCAGAACTCATGGCCAGTTTCTCCAAGGATCAATATTTGGTCCTCCTGCGCTTTGTCTTTTGCCTCTCAGCCCAGTTGAGGAGGTTGCCAAGCGAATCCCGCCAGATGAATTGTCAGAGTAAAGGGAATGAGCATAAAGTCCCCAGTGCCTCAACAACAAGCCCAATCAGGACGACGAGTGGAGATAAGAGTGCTGCGCATGGTTCCGAATGTGCTAATGATGGAGTGGGGATGCATACGCCAACCAGTGAAAGCCATCCTCTTCCGTCAGCGAGTATGACATTGACCAAGTGCAGAAGCCGACGGACAGCTAGAATTCAGCTCTGTAAATTGTCGGCGGAAATGGAACTCTGGCGTGAATCTCAAGGAACTGATTCTGCAAGCTCATCTTTGCTGTTGCTGGCTGCACAGGACTTGGTGATGGATGACGTCACAAGTTCTGGCTATGGTAAAATGAAAAGGAGGCGCGCGAGTCTTGAATCAGCTGGAACAGTTCCCTCTGTCTCAGAGATACTAGAACCGATAGGTTGGAGAGGCAAACTGGCAGATGACCTGTACAAACATGCACATGTTTTTGAAATGTCACTTAGTCATTTCGAAATGAATACCCGACGAACTTATAATCGTCGTCAGTGCAGTGCATCTGCAGGAAGTGGAGGAGGACTACAAAAGAACGAAAGGATGGGAATGACTATGCCGGATGCGGGGGACGAGGGCTCAGACTTTGGTGTTGATGAAGATCTAAGTTGTGGCGACAGGGGGCATATTTGGGATAGCTGCCGTTCGTACTCAGTTGTGTGTCCACTGGTGGTGGATGGGAATGCCTCTGCCTCTGGTATACCTCAGAAATCTCAAATTCTTTCTTTGTCATGGGAGTCTGGTATTTGTGAGATGGATCAGGCGGAAGTGACAATTGGACCGCTGGATTACCAGGTCGATCCCCAACTTCTGGAGGAGGTACGAGGACATTATACACCCCTCCATTTGACTCGTGTATGGCCCACAGCCCGTGTCTTGCTTCGTACGTTCATTGCTGTGGTTGGTCGTCCTGTTCCGGGAATATAGCGACCTGTATGCTGTCTCACTCTTGGAAAATAACAGCCCTTCAGAGAGTTGTGGCCATTTCTGAAAGTCTTACACAATGATATGCACCAAATGATGCAGCAATTCTTGAAATGATGTAGATGGAGCCGAAATCCAGGTTTGTTTTTTTCAAATATACCATTTGTGATTTGGTTGTTTATGAAGGGGCATCAAGGAAAGGGGTTTCAAGGTGTCTAAACCACGACTGCCCGACACTTGTACCCCAGATCTTGCTGGTGTGCAAAGAAGATGCAGGGCGGTTCTGTAGCAGCATGTACGGCGCTTCGTAGCTCTTGCTGCCAGTGCTGGAGGGTGGTGAAGTCCGAGGTGAGGCAAGAGTGAGCTTTGCTGATAATTGTTGGCCTGAGGGAATGTACCAAAATTTTTTATTCCTTTTTTTTTTGCAATGTTCATTGTGAGGAATTTTGAGGTGCCCGGTCTGGATGGATTTGGACACGATTTCGATCCAGACCATCTCGACCCAGACTGTCCCCTCCAAATGATGGTACCGGTGCCTGGAAATGTCTGGATTTTGAAAAATCGGGAAAAAAAAAGAACCTGCAGAATGAAACAACACTATGCGCCTGGACCAGAGAAAGGGGATATAAGCAGCAGTCAGTCAGTAGAATAGAATGGCTTTAAGTAGGTAGGAAGTTAAGTAGGTAGGAAGTAGCGGGGAATGGGAGGATACGGGGGTAGGAGTTAGGAAGCTGGTAGAAGGCAAAGTAGGGAGGGGGAAGAGGGTAAAGTGCGGATGGAAAAAGGGAGGAGGGGGAGCCAAAAATGGGGAAAAAAGGAAGAGAAAGCTAGGCCGTTTTCCCGGGCGCCCGGGCACCCAACGCCCGGGTGCCCGGCCGGGCATGACCCCCGGGCAGGGTTCCGGGCAGCCCCAGCGCCCAAAAAAAAAAAAAAAAAAACCTCGAAAAATTCCGAAAAAAAAAATGTTGTGTAGGTTTGAAATGCAAACCACTTTTGGCTGAGGGTCACATTATGATTCCTGACAGAATCGGAGATAAAAAAGAAAATAACAGAATCACACAAAGGCACCCCCCTTTAGACCCCTTTAGACCCCTTTAGCCC